AGCTGTGCAGATGTCTTAAAGCACACAAACATATATTTTCAGGGCTAAGCAAAGAATCCCATGGCTTCTATGATTTAGACCTCCAATTTCAGCAAGTCACAAGTCTGAGTTATTAACATAGTGACAGCCCTTCTTAGCCTTAGGGAGAAATTCAAATAAGATAAAGAAGGTACTGTAATAAGTCCTCTGAAGTCTATCAAACACAATGTGTATATCTGAAAGCTTCTGTAAGCAACAGGAATAGGGCTGTTGTTGGGGGCATCCAGTTGATTCCAACTATAGAGACCTCATGTGCCAGTGTACAACTGCCCCGGGGGGTTTTCTTGGCTGCAATCTTCGTGGAAGGAAATCACCAGGTCTGGGAATCCACTGGGTGAGTTTGAAACATCAGCCTTGCAGTTAGCAACCCAGTACTTTACCATTTATGCCACCAGCATAGCATCATAAAAATAATCTTCTGGCATAAGCACTGGGCTAATAACCATAAGGTCAGCAGTTCAAAACCATCAGCCTCTCCTCTGGAGAAAGATGAGGCTTTCTGCTCTTTCCTTGAACAATTCCTGAGAATTCAGGTTGGACATATAAAAGGTACAGAAGGGAAAGGAGTCTTTGAGATTTGGCCTCACTGTCCAGAGATACAGTGCATGGCTATCTTGCAGTAATAACTTCTGCTTTGAGCAGATTAGAAATACAGTTTAGGGAAAAGTAGGTGCATGGTATTAAGAACAGAGGATATAAGAAAGTATAATTTGCTGTAAAGGAGGTGCTGTTCTCAAGTTTAAGAGTAGGGAAAAAAATCTAGTCCTTCCACTTCACAATGGTCACAGCGAAGTGCTGTAAACCCAATTAGGTGGGAACTAAGTACTAATGAAGAAAGCCCTCATGCTCAGCCACAATAACATTGGAGGAATAGTGTGCTTCACGAAGAAAAGGGGTGCTCTTAGAAGGAAACTAATTTAAATGAAAGGTAAATTAAAACAGCTTCTGGGCTGATGAGAGAGAGCACAAATTACTTCTCGTCAATGTGTGACCTACTCCTTGTTGCACTTCCTTGCCGCTCACAGTTGCCCGTTCCAAGGAAATGCAAGGGGGTGGCATGTAAAGGGAGGCTTGTTGACAAAGTGTAATGGTGACAGCACCCAGAGGAGCAGTTAAGAACATGACCAGGGAGAAGAAAATCACTGATAAAACAGATATGAATCCAGAAGACAAAGCAGAATGGAGCCGTAGTAGGAGGGTAAAACAAAAACCATAATCAGTGGTCTCTGAACATGTCATTGAATCGTGTGTGTGTGTGTGTGTGTGTGTGTGTGTGCACACGCGCACATGCGCGCGCACACTACCACAAACAAAACCCCTGCCAGAGGCCTGCACTCTCGTTCTGCTACTCAACTGCAAGTCATTCAACCTCTCTGAGCCTCGTCTCCACCTGTGCGATCAAGATCAAACTTCTTGCCCTACCTACAAGACAAAGCTGCCGTGAACAGCTAATACAATAACTTGTGCAAACATGCTCTGGACACTTACAAAACCACGCTCTGGCTAACATCATGTAAGTGATAGAGGATGCTCTCTATATTCTGTTTAAGAAAGCAAGGAGGTGTGAATAAATGTGGCTCCATTTTCATTTCAATGGCTAAATAAGAAATTAGCACTTCTCTTAATGCAGAAAATGAACACCCATGATTAATATTTATCCCTTCCTCCAAAAAATGCCTTTTTAAAAAACTCAACTATTAGCAGAGAAAAACAGAAAGAGCTTTAATGCAAGAGGAAGGTTTAATCTGCCCTTTGGAAACCAGATAGGTTATACAGCATTTTCTTCTGACAGGAAAGCTATTTCATAATGGGAAAAGATAAAATATTTCTAAATGAGGCATACTTAAACATATAAGATAGTATCTTTTTCAGAATTAGAATTTGGGTAAGATTTTTCAAACAGTAGGTCATAATCATCAGTAGATTATGAAACCAATTTAATGAGTCATGACTAGCCTTTGTCTGGAAAAATCTTACAGTACATTAGATTTAATAAAAGTAAGTCCTACTTTGTGGAATTTTGTTTTACTTAGTATGCATTAGTACCATGGGTCACAATCTAAGTACATTTCTTATGTAGGCTTGTGGCTCAAAACTTCAATGTCACCGCTAAGAAAACTAATAGGCATTCAGCATTCTAAATGGAGCTAAGGCTACACAGGAAGAACTCAGGAGCAGCTAGGACTCAGAGTAACCTGGGGATCAAAAGGAAGCAAAGAAATCACAACTGAGGTCAGTTTTTCATTTTTCCTACAAGTCACAAGACATCAGTCCTCAAAAGAGAAGGACAACACCATTCCTTCTAGGAATGAAGAGAAAGGGGTGGGAATAAAAAGACTGTAACAGAGCAAAGGAAATGCCAAGCCCTCATCCTTTGATCCTTAGTTTCCTCACCTGCAAAGTGAGGGATCAGACTGGGAGGTGCATGTATCGATCCTCCTCACCCTAGCATACTCTAGTCTGATAATCTGAGGCCACAGTGAGTGGCCTCACTCACATATTTGATATGTAACTAAGAGCCATTGTCTCTAATAACTAAAGAAAGAATATTAATTAACACCCCCTTCACAAATGTCTTTAAAGAAAAACAAAGCTATTGACTTGTCATTTTTCTGCATTTCTCAGTTTTCCGCACCCTACAGGTCTGGAGGGCTGAGTCAAAATAGCGTGTAGACGTTACTATCTGCCGGGCGGTGACCATAGAACTCTCTGGAAAGGCGCTTGTGGGGAATTAAATAACTTGCCAAAAATATTCACAATGACTAATGAGATGCACGTAAATGGTTCATACCAACTGCAACTGGTAATGTGTTTTAAAAATTAAAGATGAGCTATTCTAACATTTCCTATGGTGTTTTTCTATAGTAGGAACAATCATTGAAGCCTAATTGTTCTCTAACTAAAGACACCAATTGCTTCCTTAATGTTGTTATAATCATTTCAATTTCCTTGCCTCGACTCGGCTGCTTGCCCCAGTCCACATGCACCTTAGCCTGCTGCTGACAGCTGGCTCTCTCCTTCCTGGTGGCAAGCCTTTGCTTGGTCTGGACCCACTTTCCTATGCTTGCAGCCTGCACTTGCAAGAACAGGGCTTGGAAGCTCTCAAATAAATAGACGCTTACAAAATCAGTTCATCACATAGCACAAAGCTGCTCTGGTTGATGATAAATGATATTGTGAGGAGATGTTCATGTAAAGGTGTGTATTTCATGTGGATGTCATATTTGGGGGCTATCTCTGAGACTGGAGAGAGTCTATTCCACTTCTAACCAAGACTTCCCTCTCATGAAATTCAGGCTGGGCAAATGTTAACAGAGAGAAATATAATCCAACGGGACTGAGTGGAGATCCTCTCAGAGGGGTGAAAAAACACAGAGAGGCCAAGGTATTCATCCAGAGAGCTACTTGACACTGGGCACGATGATTAGAGAACAGTCATGAGGAAGTACATGAAAAAGAACTAAGGCACCACACACACTACAGTGTTTCATTTCACCACATCATTTGTACAGAGAGGAGAGTCGGCATAGTATCTCTGACCCGTTCTTTCTAAAAGTTCACACTGCTCATCTTTCCCTATTCTCCACAGATCACTATCTGCTTTAGAAAACACATTCGCCCAAGGACACCCCTCTGGCTGACAGGAGTATCCAGGTGGCCATTCAAGTGATCAAAATGCAGAACCCGAGTCTGGCCCCATTAGGTTTTGCTGACTTCTCTGTGCAGGGTGCTCACTTGTCTTCTGCTAATATCCACCTGCTTTGGAATATACGCCAAGTAAATCACCCGATATTTAATTTTACCAAATAACATACAAGCAGCTGATTGAGTATCATCATACCGAAAATGAGGATGATCCCAATCTCCCAATCTCTAAAGCTCACTCTGGGCATATCACTACTCTCCACTGAAAGGCTCCAATATGCACATAATGGCTGAATAAAACATGGAATTGGAAAATATACACCAAAAATATGTATGAGTAAGGAAGAAGGCACCAATCTCTGTGAGATGAGTGTTTTTAAAATATGCATTAAGAAGAAATGAGGTCCTGAAGTCAACATAAAAGCTTTTAGAGTCAAATATGCAAAAAGCAAGCACCACAGAAAAATGAAAGGAGAGATTGGGAATAAACAGCCTGCTGATGAAAGGACGAATCAAGCATGACAGCGCTGAGGAACGTCAATGTTGCTACTTTTCTACCAGACGACAGCATTCCTTATAGTGAGTGAGTGGAAACAGACAGACAATGCTATCCTGGAGTGAGTCAATGCGGACTCATGCAGACCGCTGTAGTTTCCAAGCCTGTAACTGTTGATGGGAGAAGAAAGCCCAGTCTTTCTCCTGTGGAGCTGCTGGTGGTTTCAAACTGCCAACCATGGGGATTGCAGTCCAAAGTGTAACCACTAGACCACCAGGGCTCCTATCCCAGTACAAAACCCACCTTAACAAAGGCTGGACGTAAAGTGAGAACAGACTAAAACGATATACACTCATTCGAGGCAACTTGGGCTCTCAGAAATATTTTTTGCGTATTATGTTACGCCTAAAAAGCTGAAACAATTTTAGATTTTGTTCTTAACAATGAAATATGAGGAAAGTTCTTGAGTAAAAATGCAAGCTACAAATAATGAAAACTTGCTAATTACAGAAGGCAATAGAAAGAATGAGAGTCTGGTAACTTAGAATAACAGCATTTCTGATTTTAGAAATTAGCAGCTGGTATAAAATGATACATTCAAGAAAAAAGCACAGTCAAAATTTAAAACCTTATAAATATATATTATAAGATATGGTATTTAAAAGGGTTTAAAGAGTAATAGTACTGTGTAGAGTTCAGAGGGAAGCCCCAATACTAGCATTCAACACAGAAAACATAGACAGCCAAGTTAGAGGATCCCTTTCTATATTTAGTAATATTGATGATTAACCTTCAAGTAAGTTTCCCTCAATCAACTCACCCAACATTTTCTGCGTCTTCATCACACTCAGCTTTATATTTGCAAGGTCCACACTTGGAATGTTTTCTGTGAATGTCTGTCCCAGACCCTTCCTCTTCTGCTTAAAAAAAAAAGAGAGAGACTTTGGTCTTTCGGTGCTGGAAAATTATGTAACTTTATGACAAATACTAGAGCCATCTTATTTCTGAAGAAGACATAAATTCATTTACATTTTGCACATAAAGTTCATTCTACTCAAAGAAAAGGAAAATGTGGTTTTCAACCGAAAGTTAGAGGAGCTTTTCCAGATGTGCTTCAAGTTTTTAGTAGCCATTAGCCCAGTTCTGGGGAAAATGGAACCAGGCTCTTAAAAACATTCACTTCCAAAATCAACCACTGCTTTAGTCCAAACACATTGCTGATACAGCATACAGTCTATATCCCCTGAGGATAAACAAGTACTGAGACTAAAAAAATAACCTTACACTGTGTACACACAGACAATGTAAGTTTGGAAAGCCATTGTTTTAAAAAGAATTATCACATGGCATTTTTAAAGAGAGCAAACCATGAGGAATACATGTAGCCCACTGAGCACCTGACTAACATAAGTCTGTGGGATGGTGGCGAGCAGACAAGAGCTGGAGCGCAGGGCAGTATGCCCACATCAGTCTCACAAGAGCCTTTTAACTATATAAGAATTAAACAAATGTTTGTCTCCCAAACTTAAAAGGATAGGAGTCTCGACAAAGCATGCGCTCCTTCTTCTACTGTACGCTTTATTTACCACAGCCCAAAATGCCCTGATGCAAAAGTTTATGGGTCTCCTATGTCCCCTATTGAAAACAGTGGCCCTAACTCACCACCCAGCCCACACCTTATGGGACCCCTACATTTGTGGGCCCCGAACAGGGTGGATCTTACTCAGATAATCTCACACTGGTCAGCGCAGTTCTGAGGCCAGTTTAAGAATTTCTGTGTATTCAAGGGATTTGGTTTTGTGGAGAACACTACTCGGGGGCCCTCAGTCAGTGAAGAAGGTATTAAAAGAAAGGGACCCCGAGCAAGCACACCTGTTGGTAACACTTCCACACTTCCAATTTTGGGGGTCTGCCTGGACTTCAAAGTAGAAATCATGACCAAACACTCATAAATATCCTCAACAGGATTCCACAGATCAGAATTCCAGGTATTTCTGAGGTTTCAGAAGCGCATCCAGTATAGGATCAGGAAGCCAAACCTTGACACCAGCTTGCATTTCTTAATACCATGGATAGTGACAACATCCTGTCACACCACAGTGACTAGACCATATGGTCTCTCCGAATCCTTCCCAGCTCTAAAACCCAGAATGGCCTTCACGTGTGGTATGAAAGCCCTGCTGAAATGTTAGGTTTAAATCAAATTCTGTTGTGAAACAGCTTTAATCTTCAAATGTCTTCTTCACGACAGCTCACAACCACCTCGTTTCCGAGTAGAGCCAGAGGGCTTCCAAGGGCTGTGACCTTTTGGAAGGAGATGGTCACGACTTTCTGCCGAGGCGCCTCTGAATGGGGTTGAGATGCCAGCCAGTGCGCCACCTGGAACTCCTCTTCTGCTTCCTATCCTTTCATGTCCTCCTCAACTCCGAAATCCTAGTGTTCTACGTAACCTGGAGTGAGGTAACGAGAGTGTAGAAGGGATAACAACCAAAGTCTTCGTTTGTAGGAGTGTAAGTTCTACTTCAGTAAGACTGTTTTCAGGGTCTCCCGCAGTACCCGTAAATTATTTCTACACAGTGAATATTCCACACTCAGTAAGAATTACAGTCTCAACAGGCCACGGGATGGAGGAACCATCTCAATGCTAATCTTTTTTTTTTAATTAACTTTTATTTTAAGCTTAATTTACTCCCAAGCCATAAGTTTTTGCTTCTTCCATTTCTTCTGGGAGATCTTTTTCTTCTGTGCAACCTCCTCTTCAGGTTTAGGAATGATTTGTTCCTTTTTAGTGAGGAATTCGGATCATTTTGAGTAAATTCTATTATCCGCTAACACCAAATTGCCATTTCAACATAAAAATATTTAATGCAATTATTTGTAAGATAAAAGCATAAGTAAACCAACAGCCATCGAGTTGATTCCAACTCATAGCAACTCTATATAGGGTTTAGGTATGTAACTCTTTATTTATGGGAACAGAGAGGCTGATCTTTCCCTGAGGAGTGGCTGGTGGGTTTAAACTGCTGGCCTTGCAGTAAACAGCCCAAAGCCTAACCCAGAGCACACATGAGCCCTTACACTTAATAAAGAGGGAATTTAAAGGTCTGAATTAAAATCTATGATACCACGAAAATTGTTCTACAGCTCACTCTAGGGCACTGCCAACTGCCTAGTCTGTGAACACAACTTTGGAAACACAGAGTGGGGGAGAGCTATCAACCCTCTAGGCCGATCACTGATGGTCCTATAGAGAAGGCATTTTGGTGACAACTAATCTTCAAAGGAGCTACATTTCCCCCTTAGTTTCTCAATAAAACAAAGCCACAACACTTCAGGAAAAAAAGAATGGTTAGGGTGGAGAGAGGCAGAAGAGTTTAAGTCAAAAGCTAAGGGGGACAAGTTTCTTTCTTGGGTAATGAATATGTTCTAAAATAGATTGTGGCTACTGATGTCCAATACTCTAATAAACTAACGTAGACAAGATGTACCATATATGCTAAATATACTAAAAGCTGTGTGTGTTAGTCTAGGTACATTAGAGAAACAAATCCACAGAAACTAATATGTATAAGAGAGTTTTATATAAAGGGTAAGTGCACATCAAGAAAACATCCCAACCCAGTGCTGCCCAAACCCACAAGTTCAACATTAACCCATTAACCCATATGTCCAACATCAATCCACAAAGTCCTCCTCCATCTAACAAAACACACACTATAATGCCGACTGCAGGAGGAAAGCCAAATCAGTGAATGTGTAAGCATCTCAGCACTGGCAGGGGTCTACACATGGTTGCTCCAGCACCCAGGGCTGCATCGGGGTAAGTCCATGTGGCTTCTCCTCAGGGATGTCATACAGGAAGTGAGCCTTGCCAACTGAAGCAGGGAACTGGCTAAGGCAGCTGCACCCTGGTCCGACCATCACAAAGCAAGAGACCCGAGAACTCGAAAGACGAGGCTCACCTAGCCATTTATCTCTCTACCCTTCAATTAACCCCACGTGTTTATCGGCCAGGTTGGCACAATAAACTAACTCACCATGAAATTGTATACTTGTACGGGTGAATTGTATGGTGCGTGGATTTTATCCCAGTAACATTTTTCAAAAGAGAAAAAATGCCCTGTAAGTAGTACTGGAACAAAATAATAATAATTTATAAATTATCATGGGTTCATGAGGGAGGGGGAGCGGGGAAGGAGGGGGAAAAATGAGGAGCTGATACCAAGGGCTCAAGTAGAAAGCAAATGTTTTGAGAATGATGATGGCAACAAATGTGCAAATGTGCTTGACACAATGGATGGATGTATGGATTATGATGAGAGTTGTACGAGCTCCCAATAAAATGATTTTTTAAAAAAGAAGTAGTACTGTAAACTTACCTCCTTCTCCAGATCCAGAGCCATTATCTGAGAATAAACACAAAAAAGAGTATGAGCATTTGTTCTGGAAATCTCACCTTAATCAAAGAGTAAAATTCAAATATCCAACTGTCCACATCCCTTTTCTCTTTTGCTGATATCTAACAGTTTAATCTTATATACTTACTTTATGTATTCTGCAATAAAAAATCGAGGTCTCGTTCAGAAAATATTCAAGCAACTTACACAGAATAGGACCAGTAAAATACTACTAAATAAGTGGCTCAATAGAAATAGTTAATTTTACTTCATTCATTTAAGAGGCAGAAAAAAATTTTAATTTTGTTAAAGCTTGAGGGGAATAATGAATAAGCTGTTTTTATTAGGAAGGAGGAAAAAGGGGGCTTTGGATTTTACTACAAAAATCTTAATGAAATTAGTGGAAAGGGTCAGAAAAGCCCCCTAGGCTTAGAAGGGGGAAAAAACCCTCTGGATTCAGGTATATGAAAATAGCTTCCCCTTGGAAACCTAACCAGAAGAATGGTCACCACGCTGCAGGTTGGAGACTTGTTACTAGTGAAACTAAAGAACTTTACTCAAAGCCATCAGAAAGAAGGCAGCCTTACCTGTAATTAATGTAAAATAATCATTTTACAACGCCATGAAAAACAACATGTACTGCAGAGCATGTTGAAACATTCAGTGTAGCTACACTATCAGCACGAAGGTACAAAAAAGCTGAGATGGTAGGGATGAGGGCACCCTGGTCCTAGAGAATTCATCGCCTTTCTTCAAACTGTTCTCTCAGGATGAACACCCCCCCCCATAAAACACCCCCTCCCCCTTCAAGCCTCTTCAGATTATAATCAAAGCCCCAGAAATGGCAAAAACAGGAGGAATGGGAAAATTATTTATTATATTTCCACTTGCAAAATCCTCATTGGGTTTTATGAAAAGTCTTCATCTGTGTTCAAAAGTAATATTTACAAATTTATGAAGTTAGGCCTTCTAAAGAACTACATGTGAATAGGATGGGCAGTGGGGGGTGGTAAGGGTGGAAATAGCTTTGCCAGGAACACAAGACCCCAGACAAATGTACTTACAAAGCCCAAGAATATGCCAAGGGCTACTGTATTAGAAGCGGAAAAAGACAGGTGCCCCAGGTGGCACTCTGAATCCAGACTTCTAGACTCCATAACTGTTGGAAATTAATGTCTGTTCCTTAAAAGCCTCCCCTCCCACAAAAGGAAAGAAACTGGCTTCAGAGGTAAATTCGGTGTTAAATCTGGATTGAGTTGTCGACCCACACAGATAATGGATGTTAAGAAACATCCCAGGCCATAGCGTCTTCGTGCATTTAAAATAAACAAAACAGACCTACAAAAAGTTCAATTATGGAAGTAATATTTTCATGAACTTTTGGAAGCCCCTCATAAATAATTCCTACCCTGTAAACATACACTTGTATTTCTCACTCTAGTTGAACTTAAAGTAGTAGTGTACATACAATTCTGTAAAGGACGGAATATCCTTAATATCATTGCACCATAAGGTCTCCTTCAAACAAATGCAGATGCAGTAAAACTTTTCATTAAAAAATACCTTTGACCCCTCATGTAGTATCAATACTAATATTTATTGTTGCATCAATTTTAGCATTAACCTTAGCATGAACTATATGAATTCTCCTTCCCACACCATACCTTTAAATCAATATAAACTTAGGGTTACTTTTTATCTTAGCATTCTCTAGCTTAACTGTTCATTCCATTCTATGACCAGACTGAGCGTCCAACTCAAAACGAGGGCAGAACATATGCAAGTCTTCCGAAAGGAGACTGACAATAGCAGAGCGCTGGAGGGTTGGACGGAAATGGAGAAGGGCCGCTAATCAGTATAAAGTTTATTTTGAGGGTGAAGAAAATATCTTGACTGGATTGTGGCAATGGCTACACATTCCGCGAATGTACGAAAAACTGTAAATAAGTGCACTGTATCTCAATGAAACAGCTCTAGGAAAGAGAGAGATGAAAAAGTGGAAAGTAAGGTAGACTGGTATTAAAGTTGTCATAAACTTCCAGAAGGTGCCATCTGGTTGATTCATAGCGATCCCACCCAGTCCCGTGTCACCCTCACCATCAGAGCTCTTGTTTGAGTCCCTTGTTGGAACCATTGTCGACCTATTTCACTGAGGATCTTTCTCTTTTTGGCTCACCCGTCCACGTTACAAAGCACGATGTTCTCCTCTAAAGACCAGCCTCTCTTAATAACACCTCCAAAGTCAGTCAGTCTCACCATCCTTCCTTCTACAGAGCATCCTGGCTGTGTTTCTTCCAGGGGAAATGTGCTTGTACTTCCAGCCAAAACCCTAATTCCAGTGCATCAATTCTTCTTCAGCCTTCCTTACTGTCAAGGTTTCACGTGGTTAAGAGGCGACTGAAAACACTGTTTTCGATCACATAGTGGTTTGGGTCAGGCTCACTATCTTAATCCTCCAGGTGAAATCATTCCTTCTTAACACTTAAAAGAGATCTTTTGCAGCAGATGTGCCCAATGAAAAGAGTCACCTGATTTATTCACTGCTACTTTCATGAGCGTTGATTGTGGATCCGAATCAAATGTAAAGTTCAACGTTTTCTGTTTATCATGACGTTGCTTATTGATCCTACTGTGTGGATTTTTTCTTTATGTTGACGTGTAATGCTGAAGACTGTAGTCTCAGTCCTTCAAGTTTTCTTCACGTTTGCAAGCAAGGGTGTGTCACCTGCATATGGCAGGTGACAACTGAGTATTCCCTCAACCTTGATGCCATGTTCTTCTTCATTTAGTCCAGTTTGTCAGGTTAATTGCTCAGCATACAGACTGAATCAGTATGGTGAGAGGATGCAGCCCTGACACACACCTTTTCTGATTCAAACCATGCAGCCAGTATTCCTTTGTTCTGTTTGAAAACCTGACTCTTGGTCTATGTACAGCTTCCACACGAGCACAACTAAGTTGCTCTGGAATTTCCATCCTTCACTAAGGTGACCAGACGTCCTGCTTTTGGCGTTTTAAAAAAGTCCTGATTTTTGGAAAGAATGCATGACAAGCTAGGGAACAGTCTATTTGGTCCATATAGACCAAATTTTTAATCAAGAACACCCTCCCAGCCCCCCGTCAATGATGTCCCACTTTAAATCTGGTCACCTTATCCTTCAGAGTGTTATCCATAATTAGTTATGATCCATAGTCTAATGCCTTTGCATACACAATGAAACACAGGTAAATACCTCTCTAATATTCTCTGCATTCAGTTAAGATGCATCTGACATCAGCAATGAAATCATCCCTCATTCCGTGTCTTCTTCTGAATCTGGCTTGAATTTCTGGAAGTTCCTTATCCATGTACTGCTACAACAACTTTTTAAATTATCTTCAGCATTAATTTACATGTATGTGATGTGATATTGTTCTATAATTTCTGCATTCCATTAGCTAACCACTCTTTGAAATGGGCATGGTATTTGGGTCCCTTCCAGTCAACAGGCCAAGTAACTGTCGTCCTAATTTCTTGGCATAGGTGAATGAGCACTTCCAGCATTGTATCCATTTGTTGAATCCCTAAATTGTTATTCCATCAATTCACGGAGGCTTGCTCTTTGCCAGGGCCCTCTGTGCACACTGGTTCTTGATCATATGCTATCTTCTGAAATGGGTGAATATTGACCAAGTCTTTTTCTAGTGAGCATTTTCTTTGTAGGGTTCCCGCATCACTCGGTGAAAAAGAGGAAGACCTTTGAGGAGATAGATTGATACGGTGGTTGCAACAAAGGACTCAAACATATCAACCCCCGTGAGATGAAAGCAGGACGGGGCAGTGTTCCATTCTGAGGCACACAGGGGGCTTCATAAGAACAGCACCACTCAATGTTTTACCCTGAGAATCCTTCCACACTACAACTCAATATGGCTTGAAGAAATTGAAGATGATGAAATTGAAGATTTTTTAGCAACTTCAGCAGTTGGAAATTAATAAAAATTAATGTAATAAAAAATATGTTGATATTTACTGGTAAACAAAATGGAAAAGTTGGAAGCAAAGAAGGATCGGCTGTTGAAAAATAGGATATGGGAGATTGTACAATAGAATTTTACAGGGCCAGTGGCTAATTTATATTGCAAATACCTTTTTTTCAACAACAAAAAAGTGATTTTATTTATGTAGCTCACCATGGAATACACAGGAATCAAACCTGCTATATCTCTTCAAGAAATGACGGAAAAGCTCAATATCATCAGTTGAAACAAGGCAAGGGGCTGACAGTCGGCAGGACACACCATCAATTACTCATATGCAGAAGGAAACAAAAACACTTCTACAAAAGTCAAAGTACATGAATTTGGAGGCTACATGATGGTTAGATTTCATGTCAACTTGGTGGGACCTATGTGGAGGCAGAGGTGGAATCCAACCTAACAATCAGGTGACAGCCCGATGAAGCCTCTTTGGGGTAAGGCCTTTTTAAGAGAGACAATGAAAACGTCTCTCTCTTGCACCTCTTCGCCGTCCTGCTTGCCTGGATTGTGCGTCTGGTTTGGAGTTTGGCAGCCCGCCTAGACGGCAACCCTGGGGGCTGCGGTCCCTGCCACGTCCCTACAGACTCTGTTCCACATAACTCTGCACCCCCGGCTGGTGATCTCCCAGGTCCCCTCTTTGCCTCCCTGCTTCCTCCAGCAGCTGTGTGGCTCTGAAAAGAGCTCTGGTTAGCATCGGATCTATGGACTTGAATTTGACAGGGCTGGGGGTTTCTGAATACAAAATTATTCTTTATATAAAGTTCTTTCTTATACATATGAGTGTCACTGGTTTTATTTCTCTAGGAAACTCACACTCACACACACACACACTCACACACAATCTCAAGAACAGGTTTGAATACTAATGCCTACACAGCAGATGAGTTGTGGAATGACATCAAGATCATCCAAGAAGAAACTAAAAAGTTACTTAAAAGACAGAAAAGATAAAACCTGCACCAATGTCAGAAGGAACTCTGAAACTTGCTCTTGAATGTAGAGTAGCCTAAGTGAAATTGGAAAAAACGATGAAAAGAGCTGAGCAGAAGATTTTAAAAGGTGGCTCAAAAAGACAAAGGAACGTATTATAATGCAATGTGCTCAGACCAATCATTAGAAAACTAAGAGAAAAACACAACCAGCATTTTTCAAGCTGCAACACCTGAAAGAACCATTCCAGTTGCCCTAGAACAGGCAATGCAAATCTCAAGTCCCCTGTATCTCCAGGCAGGCAGTTCACGGAACTCTCTGCAGTAGGAAGTCGGTTTTTTCTTGTTCCAATATATATTCCAATGTAATGCAATGTGAATTGTAAGTGATGTCTTTTAATATTCCTAGTTAAAATTCAAAGTGTTAAAATCTAACTCAGCCCTGTCTTCACATTCCTACACTGTTTAAGAGATGAGAGGCCTCAGGGGCTTGGTATGAATTTTGACTAATCAACCATAAAATTACATCTTCTCTGAGCAAGGAAGGAGGAAATGAAAGAAGAGTGGAAGAACAGAAAAAAAGAGGAAGAAGAAGAAAATAGAATTTAAAATGATTTTGATGACCAAACTTTTCTTAGGAAAAATATTTTCTTCCTTTTACTCTAAAAGCATTAATTTGTGTGTATGTTAAATGCTATGGTAAATGCTTAGAATAAAAAGATAAACATGACCAGGTCTGAGCAATGACATACTCCCAATCGCTCTCTTTTTTTAACCCAGGTGCAATTTTAAGATACTAAAATGTACTACTCTCCTTTAATGTCATTTGAAATTCCTAAAACTGGTGTGACTCTTTTGATGACAAGGTTGAGTGTCTGCTATAGATCATATTTTCGCTTCTCGAGCCCACCCAACCCTACATCAACCCTGAAAGGAGAGCACAGTACCTTAGGCTGGACATACTGCTTTCCCATTGAGAATCACCAATCTGGATGGAGACCGATGTGTCAGATAAATGAAATACAGTACTGTCCACACAGAGACAATAAATAAAGACTTGAGAAATGAGACCTGTGAATGATGGTACTGGGGAAGAATATTAAACATGCCATGGGCTGCTTGAAGAAGAAACAGATCTGTCCTGGAAGTTCAGCCAGAATCCTACTTAGCAGCAAGGACGGTGCGATTTTATCTCATTTACACTGACACACTATCCGGGGGACCAGGCACTGAAGAGGAGCTTGGTAAAGCAGAAGGAGAACAAAGAGAGAGGAAGAGCCTGGAAGAGATGCACTGGCCCAGTGGCTGCAGCAGGGCACTGACCGTGAAGAGTGGTCAGTGCTTCAGTCTGTTGTACAGAAGGGTGCCTGCACAATCGCCATCAATCCACGCAGTGGTGTTTGACCTGGACAACGGAACTCTGGCCGGAAATTTCCTTTTAGAAAACACGGTGAGGCCATTTCTAACATTTACTCAGGGGAATAGCATACACATACCAGAGTAGCATGGTCCTCTTGCTACTACTGTTATCTCTCTTTGGTGCTTACAAGCAGCCCTTCTGAGAAAGCATTCATTTTGATAAGTGTCCCCATTGGATCCGCAGACAGGGATGTAATTTGTATGGCACTGAAAAAGAAACAAAAGTAAATGCTCAGAACAAGGCATGAATATTAATAGTTGATTCCATATTCATGAACACAATACCATAGCATTATGACAAACTTATACTAGAGAAAACTTTTGTTCTTTTCTTTGGTTTAAAAAATGAAACCTTATGCTACTTTTTCATATCATTTTTCATGCTTCTAGTAAAAATAACTATCAACTGCCCATAAACATGAGGATCGAGACTCTCATCCTATCTCCTTTTTTTGCTTGCTGTCGAAAGACCCAGGAAAATAATATCAGGGAAAATTCTTGGCAATGTTTGTAAAGAGTTTTTTACCTATGTCATTTTATTATCAGGATTCATTTATTCAATACTTCTAGTACCGTGGTTCTCAACCTTCCTAAGGCCACGACCCTTTCATTCAGTTCCTCAAGTTGTGGTGAGCCCCCCCACCATAAAATTATTTTCATTTCTACTCCATAACTATAATTTTGCTACTGTTATGAATCGGGTGATCCCAGTGAAAGGGTCGTTCAACCTCCAAAGGGGTCGCGATCCACAGGTTGAGAACCACAGGTTGAGAAACGTTCTAGTATGTAAACACTCAAGATAAATGCTATAGAAGATACAAATAAATGTTAAGACATGCTCCCTGTACTCAAGGGCCTTACAATCTTGTTAAAGAGACAAATACAAATAGGAAAAAATATACATTATAAAGTTAAATCATGTACTAACTCAGTAGTATAGTATAATACTTTAATAACTATTATTACAAACTACAGTATTCAAGAAAAGCCTCCTCAGAAAAAAGCAGAAAGTGAACTAGGTCTTAAATTATGAATAAAAATAAGAGTAGAAAAATAATTTTAAGTGATACAGTTTGAAAAAATAGCACTGATCCCACATGTTTAAAGTCTGTGAGGCATGCAAATACAGGTAGACTTGGTTCAATAATTTATCTCATGGCTGTTGAGAACGTCTGCAGCTGAACATACACCAATTCAACAATCTTTGCATGTTCAATTCCATGACTGTTCAATTCCATGACACTGATTATATCATCAAATTGTACAGCCATGCTCATATTTTTTTCTGAATTGTTCTGCCTCCATTAACATAAACTTACTGACCCTCTAAGGTTCCTATCTAATTTTCCAAGTTGCTGTTATCAGTTTGGTTCCCCAAAAGTAGATCCTTTGAGAGCACAATGTTTGATTTAAAGGCAACTTGTGGGGATAATTTTGACTTAAGAGCTAACGAATGTCTCAGGGCAATAGTTTCAAGTGTTCAAACAGCTCTTAAAGCTCCAGAAGGTCTGGAATCTCAGACAATGTACAATGCCGCTCTTTCTTTTCCTGCTTTGATCAAGATTCTTCGATAGGATTTTTTTATCAAAATGATTAGTCATGACCGCCTCTCGGCCTTTTGGCTAAGACCAAGTGTAAAATGCCCAGTGTGTTAGCCTGGCACCATCTAGTTTCTCTGATCTCGTGCAGAGGAGTCAATGCAACTGACTGATTTTTAGCGAATAGCTAAGTATTCCATTTCTTTCTCCTATTCCTGATTTTCTTTCTTCCCATGTGACTCCAAGACATAGGTCGACTTTAAAGCACGTTGCTGGAGAGATAAAGAACCCTGAAACTTCGTGTAAAAGGAACAATACAGACCATAAAACAAGGTAAGCAAGAGCCGGGTCCTGACAGTTTTTTGTTCTGTCTTGTTTTAAATGCCAATGGGCTTTTCTCTACCTTCCAGAGAATAAGAATTATGGGAAATGTCTCAACAAAGGAATGACAAGCCAACATCACCTTCATGAACTACGCTTACACTTGAAATCTTTGTCCCAACAGATGTTTTACTGTAGAAACTATATGGACATCCACATCCACAAATGCATCTTTTAAAAATAGCAAGTGTGCTTTTAAGGAAGAAAAGCAAGCTTTCCTCCGGGTAGAGTTTGGTCATTTTTATATAACCCCACTAGCTGGAGCACCAGCATCCCTGTCAGGAATGTACCATCCTTCTCTGTAGGCTCAGGCCAGCCTATACTTTTGTCGGTGTTATTCTATTTATGTTTTTTTGTTTCCTTTTCTTTTATTATTTATTCATTTTATTTTATTAAGATCACTTTATTGGGGGCAGCCTATACCTAAGTCATGCATCATTGGAGTTTAGGCACTCTGACTATAATCAGAATTTAGATAATCTGTCTCCAAATTAAATGAAGATGTCTCTCTTTTTTTTAATACATGACAAAGTAGGATTTCCTCCAGAAATTCACAAATAATTTTATGTTGGATTACAGGGCTATGTAATTAGATCCACAGAGTCGTAAGACATTTTATAAATAAACTCTGTTACTCATGATATTCGTTTCCTGGGGACGCTACGACAAATTAGCACAAGTGTGATGACCTAAATTTTATTACTGTCACAATTCTGAAGGCCAGAAGTTCAGTATCACTTGGGCTGAAGTCCAGATGTCAGCTGGACTCACTCCCTTCCAGAGGTTCCAGGGAATGATCGCTTCTTCCCAGCTTCTCCCATCTTTTGCCAATTGCTGGCATTCCTTGACTTGAGGGCATGGCACGCCAATCGCTGTCTCCAAGACAGCATTAAAGGCCCAGTCAGATGATCCATGGTAAATCCTTCTGCTCAAGATCCCTAATTTAATCCTATCTATAAAAACAAGAGCAAAAAATAATAATAAAAAAATAAACAAGGTCACAAAATACCAATTTATAAACTATCAAGGGCTCATGAGGGAGGGGGGAGCGGGGAGGGAGGGGGAAATGAGGACCTAATGTTGGGGGTTTAAGTGAAGAGAAAATGTTTTGGGAATGATGCACAAATGCGCTTTACACAATTGATGTGTGTATGGATTGCGATAACAGTTGTATGAGCCCCTAATAAAATGTTGGTTTTTTTTAAAAAGTTGATTAACACAAAAAAAATAAAAAATAAATAAATAAATAAACAAGGTCAAGGTGGCATTTAGAAACTCCAGGGATATGAGCATGAACATATTTTAGGGCTGGGTCAGCCTTCAGGATACTACATCAAGCATTAATTTTTAAATTGTATGTATTGACATAATACACAGGCACGTTATCAAGTATTGCACATCCTAGGGTGAAAGACCGCAATGACCATTGTTTTCTCTGTTGGTCAGGAACTTCCTGGTCCAGATAGTTACTGTGTCCTTCATGATGGTGGAGGATACGCAAGCAGCCAGAGATGAAAAGACTAAAGCTCTTTCTTATACATGTGAGTGTCACGGAATGTCTTTCTCTAGTCAACTCGGTCTACCACAGCGCGTAACCACTGCACCACCAGCATTCCCTTAATAGACTATAATGTAGCCTAAGCCTGATTATTTGATGCAACAGGCAACCAACATATTCGTGTAACTTGCTTTCTTGTGATATTCACTTTATTGAGGTGGCCTAGAACCAAACTCACAATATCTCCAGTGTGTGTTATAAAAGTACTCCAAAAATGCTAAGAATTCTATACAATTCATTTTCCACGAGTAGGAGTATATGTAATCAACACTAAGCTCAATAAACTGAACATTACCAACACTCTAAATAGCCTCCATGTCCCTTCCAAATGACACTCTCCCCAAAAATATCGACTACACTGACTTTTAACAAATTAAATTAGCTGTGCCTGGTTTATTTAATTTATGCAAATGGTTCATACTTTACACACTCTTGAATTCTGCCTTTTTACTCAATATTGTTTGGTGATTCATTTGCATTACAGCAATATACAGCAATTGTCCCATCCGCACCAATGTACAATATTCCATTATAAAAATATATGAAACCATTCATTTATCTAATCTACTGTTGACGGGCTCTGTGGTTATTTCTATAGTTGGGAGCTCTTCCAAACAAGGGTACTAAAAAACCGTCTTTTAGGGAATATCTATATATCTGTCCAGACACATACACACACAAACACACACACATATTTATACTGTTGTTTTTGGTACTATATACAATTAAGTCGGTTCCAACTCACAATGAGCCTATCGACAGCAAAATGAAACACTGCCCGATCCTGCGTCATCCTCATAATTGCTGTTCTATTGACGCCCATGGTTGTAGGCACTGCTTCCTCTTTCTCTGAGCCCCTCCTTGTCCTTTCCCAGTAACTGGTCTCTCTTGATACTGTGTCTCAGCATCCTCATTTTAAGGAGCTTTACGGTCATATGTCTTCCAAATCAGAGTTGCTAATTCTTTTGGCAGTCCATGGTAATTCCAACATTCCTTATTAAAGGCTTCCTCCTTATACAGTGTCCACCCTGATGCACACGTCTCCTAATTTTTAAACCACACAGTGTTCCCTTGTTCTGTTTGAAGGACTGTCTCTTGGACAGCTTGAGCACAATGCGAGTTCTAGAATATTACAATGTTATCCAGAGTTTATCAAGATCCGAGCAGTCAAATGCCTACGCTTATCTAAGAAAGCACACATAAGTAGCTTTCCGGCATTCTCTGCCTTCAGTCAAGATCCATTTGGCATCATAAATGATATCCCTCCTTACACATCTTCAGTCCAGCTTGAAATTCTGGCAGCTCTCTGTTGAGGTACTGCTGCAGCCATTGTTGAATGATCTTCAGCAAAATTTTATTTGCATGTGTTATTAATGATATTGTTTGATGATGTCTACATTCTGTTGGGTTCCTTTCTTTGGGAATGAGGACCCTTCGAGATGACTTCCCGTCAGTTGGTCCAGCGCTGTTTCCTATGGCATAGAGGAGTGAGTGCTCTCAGTGCTTCACCAGCTGCTAAAACATTTCCATTGGTATTCTGTCCATCCCCGGAGTAATGCCTTCAGTGAAGCTTGGGCTTCTTTCTTCAATACCCTTGGTTCTTGAGCATATGTTACACCTCTTTCAATGGTTGAATATTAACCAATCCTTTTTTGCTACTGTGACCTCTATTTCCAAAATTTTCACATCACCCTAAACAAAAACCTAGTATACATTAAGTAATCACTCCC